TTGGGCCAAAGTTATTTTTGTACTTTCTGTCTTCCATTGCACATACTGCTTCACAAGACTTGAACAAGTCTCAGGCCTAAGGTCAATATTTTCTGTTGAGGTAGTTGATAGCTGTAAATAGTTACTGCTTACATCTGTATTTGGATGGCTAAAGTAATCTGAGTAGTTTGCCGATTTTAGAAAGTAAAAAATTTAAAAGAGAAGGCAGTTCACTCCTATTACAACATGAACGGCCAAGCTTGGTGTTAAGCACTGTAAGATCTGGTTTTTGCTGTCAAAGACACTATGGCATGAAGAAACAATGCACCAGACTTCATGATCACCAGTAGGAAGTGGTGGAAATTTGTAGGATCAACAAACATGATTTTAGACACGGTTGGCCTACCCAGTATAATGGATGTGTAAGAAGAGCACAAAAATTAGTCACCAAAGTGTGTGTTCCAAAGTACTTACCCCGTTTACAGTAGTTTGCATTCAGAGGATGTCCAGTTGGTAGAAGCTCATGCATGTTGAGACATGCATTGTGTTGTTGCAATCTCTTACAAAGCTTACTATCACTTTTTACTAGACTTGATAGCAATTTTTAATCCTTTGGGGATTTTGTGGAGCAAGAGACCATCTGGTACACTACAAACATATCTCTTGATGTTCTCTTTGGATTTAGTTTGCAAGGGGGTGTTTCATGCTGACTAGCTTAGGTAGCAACTGTAGAGGCCCTAATTAGGAGTCTGATCTTCTTTATGCTTCCTTTACTATTAGTGGAAACAGAGGAGCTCTTCCAGAGTGATGATGCAGAGTACCTAAATCAGGTGTAATTTTTGTGTACTTGGACTCAAACAGTTCTGTTTCTTGGAGAGAATTCTCCTTAGTATTAGAGATTTGGCGGGAGGTTGGAGCGGGGGGAATACAGATACTGGTCTTCCCTGTCACCTGTGAACTTTTGCTCTGTGATTATCAAGAGTAAAATGAGCCAGGCCCAGCATGTTGTCTATCCAGCTCTCCAAAGTGTTTGCCTTTAGAAAGTCAGTCACTAAGGTTGCTGCATCTTCAGAGGCTATATCTGCACTGTAAGTTCATCGCAGGTCAGTTTGATGCTGGTGCCCAGTACTGGAGAATTGCATTTGTTCCATGTTACAAAACGGCAGTGGTATCTCTTCACATACATAAATAAAATTTAATTTTTCATGTGTGAGAGATCAATGCTGCTAAATCTTTTATTTTTAATATTTTGGAGGCTTTAATGCAAAAGTGTCAAAATGACTCATAACTTCCATCTTTTGCACATAATTCCTTTTACATATTTTTGGGAAAGTCTGTGAATTATAGGACCGTTATTCCCCCAAGATATATTATAAAAGCACAAAAAAAGCCTTAATTTTTTAATATATTTTAAAATAAAATTTTATAAAATTATAAAAGCACAAAAGAGGGTTAGTAGCAGTTTGTAGAAAATGTATAATTACTTGAGTGGTACTGAACACTTAATGTGGATGAATCTTCACTTCTCTCGCTGATTTTTTTTAAATTGTTTTTGTATTGTGAGGTATTATGGTCAAAGGGCGTGATGTTCACACATACGCTTTCATGTAAGCAATATGCTATAGTACACAGGAATTATATATAGTAGATCAATATATTGTGAGAATTATTTATATCTCTCATTTGAAAGAGAGATATAAATAATAGATTTGCTAATTCCTTGCCTTCGAACATTCTGGCCAAGATCGGATAACCTACCAGTACACACCTATGCAGTACTTACCGTATCCCTACTAAACCACCAGTGTGCATCTTCAGCTTGAGCTACAAAAATAATCCCTGCCTTATTGTCAGAAGAGAATTTTCAGTGAAACTTGGAGGAAAATAACTGTGGTAGTTGCTCATAGAAAGATTACTCAGTTCCTTTTGATAAGAACGTTTGACATTTGCTTTGTAATGCAAACAGATGTTGGGTTTTAGCAGATATGTTTTGGGGTTGGGTGGGTTTTGTTTGCTTTCAATAAAAAGAGGAACTTTTAAAAGCCATTGTGATTTCTGCATGGAAGTATGAATTAGAAAACATAATTCTACCATTGTGCTTAATCAGAAAAACAGAAATTTAAAGCTTAACAGAATAAAACATAAACTTTCCAAGAAATGTTTGTTATTCCAGCTCATTAACACACTGTCTCTGTTGGACAGCATTTTTTAAATACCATAAAAATTAATAGTGTATTTAAGAACTGCTTTATTGGCATGTTTCTTCAAATTCTAATTTAGACCTGGTTAATTGTGCTGTCTTTATCATCAGAGCGTAGAGAAGTAAATACACCCTTTGGCTTCAAAATTTTCAATTTCCACCTTAACTTTTTGACTTAAGTGAAAATGTGTTCTCTGGATGAGGTAAGAAAAGAAGATTTCAGTAGAGCTTGTTAGCTAATATTGTAGGAGGAAGACCTCTTAGTCCTTCCAAGTTTTAACAGAGCAGAAAAAATACTTTTTTTCCAAGTATATTAGCCAATAAAATAAAGGATGCAATAGCTCTTCCTACAAAGCTTGCTTTTCTCATGTCCTTACAATAACAGGGTTACAACGAAGCTAATACTGTTCTTCTTGTATTCAGATGGTAATATAACTTGGCAGTCTTCATAATGCTCTTGATTTATGCAGCCTAGTGAAATAGCTCAATCACATTTGGCTACAGTTTCATATTATGTTTAATGCAATCTGAACGTGGATTGCTGCTGAAAAGTGGCATTCTCTTTCTGCCTCTTGTGGTACATTCCAACTTTGCATGAGATCTAATGATTCTGTGACCTTAGGACAAGTTGGATCATCTTGCTGATTTAACAGAAAATTATTGTCCACAAATTTTTACTTTCTTATGACATTTGTTGATATGGCTAGTGATATGGCTACACTGTTTGCCATCAACTGAACAATGGAGCTTCAGGAGGACTATGCCTTTCAGAGACAGCCTGCAATTAAGTGAGGTTAAATATGATAATAACAATTTCATGTCTGTATTACTCTTTCCTGCAAAACACTGTCATGCTTAGGGATAAAAATCTTGAATATACTGAAGTTTGGAGTAGAACCTACATTGATTGACATGAGTGGGTGTTACTATTTCATCTCCTTTTATGTTGAAACTGGAGGTAGCTTCAGCACCTTTCTTTGAGCAACAAAGAATTGTTTATTTAGTAACTTTTCTTTGTAACTTCTCATCTTACTTTTTTTAGAAAATTGTGTAAATGCTGTTTTCGAACATATACTGGTTTGTTTGTTCAGGTGCAGGAGGCACTGGTGTCTAAAAATCTCACTTTATTAATTCTGGAATTTAAATATTTATGGAAAAGTTCATTTGTAGAGAAAGAAGATAATGTGTCATACTAATTTGAATTATACAATAAGTACCTGTTCTTTACGGCCTTTCTCTTGTTTCACTGATTTTATTTTCTTGCTGCTTCTGCTGCGTGTTTCACTGTTTCTTTCCAGTTTTTCTACAGTTTCAGCATTAGTCATAGCCTCTCTGTAATTAATATGCGTGTGTTCCACAACTCACATCATAAGAACCATAGAAGCTTTATATATCTGCCCTTCTTGAATGCAAATCCCATGACTTGTTGGCAAAACAATGCCATATAGCAGGAAATCACAGACAGCAGTACCGTAGGTTCATATCCTGCTGAGGGACCCTGGTACCATGCATATAATGTTTTCTTGCTGTAATCAAATGCCTTTAGCATTGCCTGTTTTTCAAAGTCGGTGCTTATCATGCTGTTTCTCTTTTTACTACTTCACATAATTCTGGTTTACTTCTATGAGATTATTGTGGGACAGAACGTCAGCTAGGCAATGAGTAAATTAGCAAAGACCGTTCTGAAAGTAGGGCCAGTATTATCAGTAAAATAGAGCTCAGCAAGGGAGATACAGCTAAATATTATTTAACGTTTCTGAGGCATCTGCTTCTTTCTGGCTCCAGTTTGAAACAAGCACTGAGAATTAGGGGATGTCATGTAGCTAAAATGTGTTAATATGCTGGAAAATGTGCTGTTTTTTAATGCTAGATCACAAATGGTGTTGTCAAACATTTATCTCTTACTTAATTTAAAGGTTGTAAAATAGTGAGTGTTTGTTCTAGCAACGTTACCTCTTCTGCTGTTTCCTCTCTGTCTCTCTTTATTTGCTAGTTTGGTTTTATTGTCTGTTTATTTATTAGGCTAGAGGTGATACCCACTGATAATTTGTTTTATATAATTACTTTTTGCAGTTATTAGAATTCCTTTAATAGTCAGACATATCCTCACAACCTGAAAATAAGAATTAAGTTTTATGGTAAAAGAAAGCTCAATAGTTGGATTGTTTCTATACTACTGTATACTTTACTAGTTGAAGAAAAGACTTTTTATGGTGTTTTATCACTGAATGTTTGACAGATGTAGAAAAAAAAAATTATAATATTCTTCCACAATTTTCACTGTTGATGCCTATAAAATTATGTGTATAGCTGTTTTTAGTTATAGTGCTGAGTTTACACCAGTTACTTTGTTACCTGTCTTCCACTTTTCTGACAGTACAGCATATTAGCTAACATGAGTGTTAGGTTTATTTAGAAACAGCAAAGTTACTGTGTTCATTACATGTAATCAATTTGTTTTGTACCATATTCTGGGAAGATGCACAAGTACAATAATGATCTTGATTTTTGACTGTGTACAATAGCACTAGACATAGGCTCAAGATAGAGAGCTATGATGAAAACACATCAATCAGCTGTAAACTGAGTTATCATCAGTAATACTGATGACTGAAGAGGGCACACTGATGCTGGATTAGCCCAGTTGCATTTACAGTAACGACTATAATGAAAATGCTGTTTTAGTAGTAGTAGGTAATTTTCTTTGTTATTCCCACTCTGTATCCCTCCCCATTTCCCTTAATTGGAACTCTGTTTTTATGTAGTCTTAGCTGACGCTATTTCTGACACTATCTTCTGCTGCCATCGGCTTATTTTGTAGATGGGAAGTGATGGAGTTTTGCGCCTCAGTAGTTCCGCTCTAAATAATGAATTCTTCGCGTATGCAGCACAAGGGTGGAAACAGAGATTGGCAGAAGGTAACTCTCTACTTGTTCTCAGATTTACCAAAGGTTAATTGTTTTTATTAAGAATGTCTCTGTTTCTACATTTGAGAAATACTTCTAGAGTAGAAAGTGTAGTACACCAGTAATTCAGGAAAAAAAAAATTGCTGATTCCATTTTGAATTTACTGTACATTTTTACAGCTTGCTGTGGCAGCTTATTTTGACAGTTAAAATAAGCATTTTCATCACTGCCAGCCTTGGAAACAGTGCATGTGACTAAATCCCACCAATATATTTTTGAAACACTGATGTTACATAGTAAATGAAATCTTTCTATGTCACACTCACTTTTGTTTTTCATTGTTTTCATTTGGAATTGTTGGATGACTTTAACAGAAATCACTATAAGTCATCTTTGTATCTGTAATTTAAAATACCTATATTAAGCTAATCCTTGACAACTTTTATTCAATATGTTAGTATTTGTTTTTTAGGAGAATTTACACCAGAAATGCAGTTGCGCATCAGACAAGAGATTGAAAAGGAAAAGAAAACAGAACCTTGGAAAGAAAAATTCTTTGAAAGGTTTTATGGTGAAAAGTAAGTATCGAAGCAAATAAAAGCATTTTTTTAATCTTCTTTTAGGAGAAAATGAAAATATAATTCTCTGCTTCACATAGCACGGTCATATGCTGTAAAACTTAATAAAGCAGTTATCAAAGGCAGTCATTCCTCGGTATAAGAACTTGTGGGTAGAATTATAGTGGTGTGTCTGCACTTGCATTACAATTGCATTTTTAAAGGTTCATAACTCATCCATAAAAATTCATTCCAAGGAGAGCTTAAGACACAAGGCCCAACAAGCATGTGAGTATTTTCTAATTATCTTTTAAAAGATAACATTAGGGCAGTTCTCCCCTCCTGTAGAATACAAATGCAGCTCCTACAGATTAGACCAGTAGAGACATTTCTGTATTATTTTTTTATTTTATTCTTTCTAAGCTAGTTGCAAAGTTTCTAAAATCAAATAGTGTTTTTTATTGTTTGACTAAGATGACCCTTTAACTGGAGTAGAATATACCACATAGAAGAAGTATTGGCTAGAGACAAGTGGAAGTGCCAATGACTAGTCTAATTTTAGAAGTGAGATGCAAAGAATAAAAAAATACCCTTAACTGACTAAAATTAATTACATAGTATCACTACAGGTGCACAGCTGGGGCAAGTCAGCATGATTTCATTGATGATGGTACAGAGATGGCATTCTGAAGCAGCTGAAGGCTCAGTTCTCCTGTTCAGGTTTTTTTTTAAATCAAAATTTAAGGAGATTCACATCTTTCTAAAATTCAAGAACCTTCCTCTTAAAAATTCCTTTAAAAAGTTAATCAATACTTAGAATTAAATTTTAAAAATATCAAGTATTAAAAGTATTAATTATTACAAACGAATAAACTAATTCTTTAAAAGTTACTCTATTTATTTTCAGGTATGTTTTAGTAGAATTTATGCATAATACTTAGCAGACAAAAATGTGCCATGGGAACCATCATCACATAAGATGTCTTAGTTTTGTTGTTAGATTTTTTTTTTTTACTTAGGAATTCCAGGCCACAGGGAGCCCTTCATATAAGTGAGTAGCTTAAAGATTAAGGCATTAACTAAAGTGTGTCTGCAGTAACAATGCTGCTTCTGACAATCCACTGCCTTGGACCACTGGGAAATGTCATGAAAATGAGGTAGCAAATGGACAGATCCATTTTAATATTTTATTTTGCACATCCTTGCTAGGTGCTTTCTCCCAGTGTTAATACTATTTCTACACCACTTTATCTTTACATATAATGGAAATTCTAGGGTCTTAACGTGGCAGACTTTCTTACTGGCAAGTGCTTAATTTCTTACTTAACAGCTTTTAGACCTCAATGTAGTCCAGGTGTTGATCCCTTTAGTATAAAAAAAAAATTAATTACGTTTTTAGATAAGGAACATAATGGCTTTTCATTATGCATGTCAAGAGAAAGAGTCAATTACCAACCTTTCATGAAGAAAAGGGCTATGTCAGGTATTGGCATAGGGCTTTCCACAAGAAGTAGAAGTTTAGTACCAACAAAGCATGAGCGCCTCACTCCAGCTGAAACCTATTTCTCAGTCACAAACGACTGTCACGTGCACAGAGAATGATACTCACAATTTTACAGAGCCAGCAGTCCTGCCGTGCTGGTTGAATGCTGGACACTATAATGGTTGGCAGATAATTGCTCGGTCTGCAGTGATACATGTCATTTGGGTTGATAGGTTCCTGACATCAACATTGTTATGCAAAATGTCATATTGCCATTTCCATTTTGACTACAGTATTGAATCTGGTCCCCCCCAACCCTTTCCCCAGCTTGTGTTGTTTCAATTGCATTCTTCTTCCTGGCTGTTACGTACACAGATTCTACTTTTTTGCTTCTTGGCTAGATTTAAGTACTTTTTCCCATTATTTACTGACTGAATGGTAGTTTTTGCTATGGTTTCCACCTTGTGTAAATTCTCTCACCTTTCTTCACTTTGGTTTTTAAACTTACCTTGAGTATGACCGGGCTTTGTCTCTTTTCAGCTCTCTTGATTTGGCTGAAGTAGCAGGTTTTCAAAACTTCCTGAGCTATTTCTCACGTGCACTGTCTGCAAAATGGATCTGTCTTGCAGTCTAACTTGCTCAGTTTACAGTCAATGTGGTATTTTTGCTCTGACTTCAACTAATTTGATCTTTTAATATTCCATAAGTAAATTCAAGTTTCACCTTATACTTAGAGAAGGACCATTAATAGATGCAGAATCTTTGTAAACATTTTTACACACTCCCCAGTTTCATGGCATTCAAAAGCTTTCGACTGCTTCTTCCATGTTGGCTCTACACATTATGTTTCTTGTGTTTGCTCTTATCGTACCCAGGCTGTTTATCATGGGACCATCAGTTGTCATTTACTTCCATCCCTTTATATGCTCTTTCCACTTCCTCATGATCGTTCTTTTTTCCTCTCTCTGGCTTTCTTCAAGAAGCAAAAACTTCATTCTGCAGTGATTTGTCTAGGATCGGGTGATGCATGTTGCCAGAAATCCACATTCTTCTGGCTTGTTGCCCCAGGATTGCAAGGGTTATACTTATTGTCTCAAGAGATTTTTTTTTTTCCCCACTCTCTCAAGAGTTACGTGTCAGGATAGTACTGCCAGCTCACTAAATGAAAGCTTTAATTTTGGGTAGACCTCCTAATTTTTTTTTGTTTTCCCTGGTACTCTTTATCACAGCACTAGAATATCAGCATCCATATATCTTTGAGTAGCTGTTTGGGGTGTTTTTTATTTGATGACTGACTGCCCTTACTTTATCAGTTGAATGCTGTCCTTAGCATTTTCACTGATGGCTGTTTACTGCTGTCCTTATATTCTTGAACCGTTTTCCAGACTTTGGATGTTGTTTTCTTTATCTTGCAATCTGAGATTGCCTTAAATATGCTGTTCTTGAGCCTTTCCTTTTGAAAGCCTTTTTCTTCACTGCAGTATCTTTTTCAAGATAGATTTCCAATACTGCAAAAAACCTGTTAAGATTCAGTACATGTTCTGCTGGCCTTAAACCTGCATTATCTTATTTTTCTTGCAGTTCTTCCTCTTCAGTATGTTACCAGAATATGTGTATTTCTGTAGTGTCTATGTGACGGTTGCATTCACCTTTATGCTATCCTTCATTCCTTTGCTGATTTTCATTCCATAAAGATAACTATCAGGCAATATCTTTTCATGATGTAAGCCAGCTAGAGAAAATAGACCACTGATTCAGTTTTCAGGAATGCAGTGGATTTCTTTCCCCTTCTCATTTTCCTGAGGTAACTTTTGCTCATTTACACAAGGAATTTTAGAGGAAGGAAGTTACTCATCTAAACGTAGGTAAACTAAACTTTACTCACCTAAACTTATAACCAAAACTTAGGCTATATAGGGAACCTATATAGTCTATACAGTGCTATATAGAAGCACACACATCTTCTGAAATTAATACGATGTGGGAGATGTAAATTTGGTGTTCTAATTGCTCTCTAGAGCCTTCCTCAGCATGTTGATGGCATAGGAAGACTTTGTGCATATGAAGTGACTAGTAGTAGGAAATAGTAGTAATTATCCTCAGAGTGCTTTTTGGGATACCAATTCCAGGCTGTTTTAATTTCTTTTTCATTTACAGCTATTGCCGTAATGCATCTGTTCAGTATTTTTAAAGTGTGCAACCACAGATTTTGGTTTTTTTCATGTTTATTCTATACTTCCATATACTTGGGCCTTTGTGATCTCTGTATCCTCTGGCTGCACATTGACAAGTTACCATGCTTCCATAATTTCTGAATATCTTTTATGCTTGCTTATTTCCATATTATTCTTTGTTTTCTGGTTAAAATGAAAATGGAGATCAAACTTCTATTAATTAGGTTAGAAGATCCTTAAGACCATGAAATTTCTTTTAAGGCCTCAAACCAAGCTTTTCTGTATTTTCTACTATTACGGAATTGCTGAAGAACAAAGTCTGCTTGGAAAATCTTACTAAAGATGCTGAACACCTGTACTCCCACTGTCCTTAGAAGGAAATGATGATGTCAGAGCACATACATATTTTAAAATAACCATTTTTTTCAGCCCTTGGCTTTTGCTTTGGTTTGTTGTGGGTTTTTAAAATTCTGTTGAAGTAATAAAACTTTTTTTTAAACTAATATTTTCAGGACCAAAGGTAAGAAAATCTTCAGAAGAGAAGTATACGTAGGAATGGTTTCTTTGCACTTCATCCCTGAGAATGAATGGACAGATTATAAATGTGTGTCTTTTTAGCTCCTCAAGAATGAGAAACTTCTTTTTAATTATAGTGAAATAAAATTAATAGTATGTACATAGATATGTGTATTTAGAAATAGTTTTTTGTCTTAAATGAAGTATTTAATTTGCTGAAAGAATGGAGTAAAAACACACAAGCTGTCCACTGACATCTTTATAATTGACTCTTGAGTTGTAAAATGAGGCTGAAGTGGATTTATTTAGATTTTCGTCATAAATTTGAAATGATTGTCAAATTACAAAACTGAAACGCATGCTTTGCATTATTAGTTATAGGTGCAGCTTTTTCTTTAAAGTGCAGCATTTAAGCCGTACTGCTGGCTGTGTTGACCCTAAATGCAGGTGTAGGAGGAAAAAAGGGATTTCCTTTAGAACTGTTACTGATGGAAGAAGATATAGTTGTGCATTTCCTCTGCAAAGCATGCTGTATTACTATTGAAGTGTTGTGCTGGTGTTTTAAAAAAAAAAAACCCCACGGAAATTGAGAGTATGAGTAGTGGTGAATCTGTGTAGCTTGCTTTTTTGTTTCATTGAAGTGCCAAACATTAAATAGTGAATAATAGATTACTTATTTTAAAAATACGTAAGTTTTTTAACACTGGTGAGAAAATCTGGGTACTTAGGTTTCCAAAATATATAAAACCTTATATTAGTCAGCCACCACTTAACCAAACCACTATTTTAAATTGGAAAATAGGTCCTTTTTGTAAATAAAAGATGTGGGTGAGAAAGACAATCCCATTCCTTTATCATGTCTGCAATGAAAAGACTTTTTTAATTTGTGTGTTTTTATTTAGATTGGGAATGTCAAGAGGGGAATCAATGAAACTCACTGCAGTGCAGAACAATGATGAAGATGAAAGCAATTCTTTGTGTGGATCTTCTGGCACACCTGGTCCTTCTAAGGAAGCAACCTTGGACAACCAAGAAGAGAAAGGCGATAAAATTCCATCTTTACCAGAGAGAGATTGTTGTCCATCTCCTTGCAGTATGGAACAGGTTCCTGTCAAGGATCTAACAGCAGACTCAGAAGATATACTGATACCTGAAGAATCAATCATTCAGGAGGAGATTGCTGAAGAGGTTGAGACAAGTATTTGTGAATGCCAAGAGGAGAACCATAAAACAGAACATGAGTTTTCTGAGGAGTCAGTAAGTCCAGCTGGCACAAATGAAGAAACAGAGGCAGTACAGCTTGCAGACAGCACAGAGTCCTGTGTCATGGTGAATGATGTAACTGGTACTGTATCTCACATTGAAATTAAAGTGGAGTTGAAGTCAGAATGCCCTCAGGAGGAGATGTCAGTTGTGATAGATCAGCTGGAGGATTGTGTATCACCAGCACGATCAGCTTCATCCACAAACTCTGTCAGTGATACAGCAGAGAAGGATTCTGAGTCTGCAAAAGAGCTAATTGCACCAGAAATGCAAAATGCTGCTCTGGAAGGCTCCTTGTTCACTGGTGGAGGCATTGCAGTGGATATGGAGCTTCAAAGTGACCCTGAGGAACAGTTGTCTGAGAATGCTTGTATTTCTGAAACTTCCTTTTCCTCTGAGAGTCCAGAAGGACCGTGTGTTTGTATTGCCTCTCCTGGAGGAGATACTCAGTCGACTTCAGAGGAGCCCTGTACTCCAGCATCTCTTGAAACAGCTTGCTCATCTGAAGTGTCCAGTACTGAAAACATTGAAGGTGATATTCAGCAAAAGGCCAGTGATGAAAACTTGCACACACCTTTAATGTCAGAAATCTCTCCAATGTCCACATCACCTGTAACCTCAGAAGCATCTCTGATGTCAAACTTACCTTTAACATCAGAGGCATCACCAGCTTCTAATTTGCCTTTAACATCAGAAACATCTCCAATGTCTGATTTGCCTTTAACATCAGAAACATCTTCAGTATCTTCCGTTCTTCTAACTTCTGAAACATCTGTGGCAAATAGTTTGCCTCTTCCATCAGAGACATCTCCAGTTTCTAATTCCCCAAGCAATGAAAGACTTATTCTGCAACAAAGGAAATCACCATGTTTATTGGAAGACTCCCTTTCCACTTTGAAAGAAGAAAGCTCTGCCATGCCTAAGGTGCTTCAAGAAGAGAATCTTGTTGTACAGCCAAAGCAACTTCAGAGTATCCCTGAAAATATAAAAGTTGGTCCACTTACAATTATACCTGATACTTCAGCATTGGAAGAGCCCCAAAGCAAAAACCTCAGTCATCAGCCAAGTAAGTCACATTCTGAAATTGAGAAATCCTACATTGCATCCATCCCAGAACACTCTCCTCCAGAGGTGGTGAAAATCAAAAATCACAGTGTTCAGCAAAGAGGTGACAAGAAAGGTACACTCTTGCCATCAGAGGTAGTTGTCTTATCAGAAGGATCAGTTGGCAAAAACATCGAGTTGCTTCCATCAAAGCCACATGATAAACTATATACCTCATCTCTAGAGAAAGCTACATTCTCTGAAGTGTGCAGAAGTAAATCTCACAAGCTAACAGGCAGCACCCAAAGCCGTCTAGAGAGTTCACATTCTTCCAAGTCGTTAGAACCCACAAAATCACCTGAAGTGAGGAATGAAAGTAGAGACCCAGAGATCCCAAAGAGGAAAACAGCAGAACAGCACAGTTTTGGAATCTGCAAAGAGAAGAGAGCTAGAATAGATGATGATCAGCCTAACCGCAGTGCTTCATCAACAAGTCCATCTGATAAAGATCAGCCGCCCAGAGAAGAACCCCGAGTTCCACCCCTTAAGGTAAAGTAATGAATAAACAGGCTGACTTTGAAACTAAAGGTTTATTATCTCCCTCCTACTGACTGCATGCAAACACAGTGCATGGTGTATTTTTTGTGGAAGTGTGAGGGGTGTTAGTACTGATGGTTTCGCTTTAATGTTACATTCCTACCATGCCAAATTACTTCTGATATAACTATACCTATAGTTGTTCAGCTGGGGTCTTTGCTACAAAATTGCTTTTGTGTGAGGGAAAATTTTCCAGTATCTGTGGCTTAATCTAATTGAAGAGCTTCCCCATCATTTACACAGTGCTACTTATTTTTATAATTGCCCAACTGTATTATCCACTTGTTCTCCTGCGGATGACTTCTCCGGCAAGCATGAATAACAAATATTACCATAACTGGATACTAAGAATTACCATTACCATAATACTAAGAAAAAGAACCAGTGCCTTAATCCAGCAAGAGAACCTAGAGTCAGAATAGTTGGAGATCCCCTTGCAAGCCCAAGGCTTGGGGTGGGCTGAAGTATAAGATTTCCCTGTGGAATTAATTGGAAACAGGGACCTGGCTATCAGGAGGAAGTGTCTAATTGATAATGGCAAAGCAAAATGTAAAAAAAGATACACCACCTAAGCAAACACTTTTATGTGTATCATTCTGCTATGTAAGAAAGTAAACTCCACTGGAAAGCTTTTTTTTTTTCCTAACAGGGATCTACAGATTTCGTTATATATAGGCTCAGCATTTTGACCCTTTTAATTTTGTACACGATAACATCAGCCAAGTTTTAGATCCAATTTGCTGAACTTAAACCATTGACTTTGCAATACTAGATCCAGATTATTCAGAAATGCCATTTTCTGCATTTATTTTTAACTGCTGCAATCACTGAACATTGTTAATATGGCCAGGAGGGCAAATAGGCTAACTGTTTTAATCACTAGTGCAGCAGCATATTTCAACTAATTTATTTTTATGGGCAGTGATGCAATCGGAAGTTAGCCCATTCTGAATCTAGTGACATTCTTTCATATTTGGAAGGTCTCTATCTAGCCTAATAAATTCTAATCACTCTCTAAGCACAAAGGAAAATAGATCACTAGGGAATAAAAAAAGGTCATAACTATAATAATGAAAAAAACCAAGCACTTAGAGCTTTAGCAGCTCTGGTGATGCAAAGTGGAAACTAAGAAAAGTTGCTACTGAATCAGAAAGCAAAATGTTTTAAAGTAACTGTGGGTTTGTGATACTCTTTAAAATATGTTCATGTAAATGTTAAAGCCTCACAATATTAGGCATGAGTGTTTATTTATAAGCCAAAAATTTAACTGCTAGGAAAAGTGAAGTGTTCCAGCCCTCCAGACCAGTACAGAGTTGTATGGTTATATCAATGGTTATGTATTACAATAACATCTTAATATTGATTTCCACTGATCTCTTATGGAAAATCAAATGCTGTCAGTCTTGCACAGTCTTAAGAATTGAATCTCCCTGAAGCCTCCAGCCAGTGAATGAGAATACTGCAAAATTGGCAAGCATTTTGAAAAATAATTTTGGACAATCAATTCTAATATGTTTTTTGTGTAACAGATACTTGGCTTTTGAGTCATGCTACCAACAAACCCCTATCCTTTGTAATTAAAAGAGGAAAAAGAACCCCAGTTCTCCTAAGTCATTCTCCTATACGGCTCTCACTTCCCATCATACCTTATGACTACTTTTTCTGCAAATACTACCTAGTTTTCTTCTCAGTTACTTTCAGAAGAGAAGTCACAGCATTAACCTCTAAGTCCTATTACTGTGGACAGCTGGTAAACATATGTCCCTTTTAAGAAATTAATTTTTTTTTTTTGCCAACCTTTGGGTATTCTGAGAGAGTGTATGAGTTATAAAGTGGTCCCAGGACTCTTAATCTCTAATCCTGAAAACAGATGTGCCTAATTGGAAACATACTAATAATCCCAGTGATTTTACAGGTTATTATTTTGCTTAAAGTATTAAGTATTTAAAACTTTAATATTTTCTTTTTTAATATTTGTAGTTTTGAGGATTTAATTTTTTAAATGCAGTAGTTTAGGAGGTATCCCAGGGATGTACTAAGACTAGTCTCTTAAAATTGCAAGTGAGGAAGGGAAAGGCATATCCTTTAGTGATTCACTTCTTTTATACCGCTACTCTAAAGTGCTCTGTGGTATAACATGAAAAACAGGCTCAGTGGAGACACTGCTACATCCAATCTAAAGGCAAGATTTGTTGTTTGGTATATAAGTGAAAGACAGGCTGTTCCTAATATCTTAGTCATTGGAGACCAAGGAGCAAAAGCACGACATGATTGTTATTTTTTCACACATTTGCAGGAAGTGCCTAGTCGTAGACTCTTTTCTAGTATCACTGCACTAGGCTTGTTGATCTTCTCAGTTAGATACACTACACATAAAACAGGTCTGACAAATTGTATCAGATAAGCATCATGTTGTCATTCAGTTCAATCTTTATTCCTGTCAGAAGGATCAATGTGAGTAGGCTAATACTGGTGTCAGTTATTCATGCTGGAGGAGGATAAAATACTGAAGTGTAAATATCATTAATTTTTAACATTTTTCTGTCCAGCTGCACTGAACAGTAATTCCCTTCATTACCTTTCTCTGACCCTTTAAGAGACAGCTGGAGATGCTAGCGAGTTGATGATCTCATTAAAATTATTGGGTTTTTTCTTCCTTTAGATTCAGCTTTCAAAAATTGGACCACCTTTTATCATCAAGAGCCAACCGGTTTCTAAACCAGAACCTCGAGTTTCCCCAAGTACATCGGTCAGCAGTGGGAGAAACACTGGGGCTAGAACTCTTGCAGATATCAAAGCAAGAGCTCAGCAAGCAAGAGCCCAAAGAGAAGCTGCAGCTGCAGCAGCCGTGGCAGCGGCTGCGAGCCTAGTCTCTGGAGCCATGGGGACCCCATGCGAAGGTGGGAAGACAAGAACACTGGCACACATCAAGGAGCAAACAAAGGCCAAACTGTTTGCAAAACATCAAGCCAGAGCTCATTTACTCCAGACTAATAAAGAATCAAAATCGCAGTTCAGCTCAAAGGAAAGTACCTCATCTCTGGAGATACCAACTTCTACTGATACAAAGATTGAAGGTTCTACTGGTGTCATTATAGTTAATCCCAACTGCAGGTCCCCTAGCAACAAGTCTGCTCATCACCGTGAGACTACCACTTTATTGCAGCAGTCGCTTAACACAGCTACGTTACCAGAAACTGCTACTGAGATATCTGTGCACAGTTCTGATGAAAATATACCTATGCCACAATTGTGTGAGAAAATTATTTCATCTACCTCTACTGAAAGTAACAGTGTGCCAGTGCTTTATAATAAAAGTTCAGTCTCTGTGTCTGTTTGCAGCACTGCTATGTCTGGAGCAATTAAAGAACTTTCTTTTGCAAGTTCTGTTGATAAATCCTCTGTTTTAATGTCTGTTGACAGTGCAAACACAGCAGTTTCAGCTTGTAATATAAATATGCTGAAAACCATCCAAGGGGCTGATACTCCATGCATAACTGTTGGACCAAAATGTATTGATAACAGTAATGTACCAGTCTCCATAGACAACACAGTCTTACCAAATTCCATCGATGACAAAAGGTTGCCGATACCAAGTAGCAAAGTGAATAACGCAGTCTCCAGTCATTATGCCACTGTGCCAGCTTCATCTGTTGCAAATAATTTGCCAAATCATCTCTCTGGTAGTTCTGTACTGATTCCCCCAGTGGGGACTACCAACAGATTCTCTTCTGATAAGATAGCCATAACTGGGTGTAACGAGCAAAGCACTGTCTCCATTCACACTACGGTTAGGTCAGCTCTAAGTTGCAGTGAGGCCCTTGCAGTAGCAGATTCTGTTGCAAGGCCGCCCATTTCGATGTTTACTGGTAACATGGTGACAATAAGCTCTTACGATAATGCTACTAAATTAAATGCTGATCTCTTAGAAAAAAGCTCTGGAGCACGAAGCCGAATGGATCTCTCTGGTAAATCTCAGCCAGTGAGCTTTACACAAACTGCCGTGAATAGGTCTATACCTTGCAAAGTCATTGTTGATCACACTACAAATCTGAATTCCAGTCTGTCACTTTCTTCTTCTATTGAAAATGCAGAGAACAGCATTGACCTGCAAAGCAGACCTGGAAGGACAGAAGCTACCTTGCAAAGTGTAGCCTGTCCTCAGGTGTCTGTCATAAGCAGGCCCGAAGTGGTCTCTAATGAAAGCCTTGAGCACAGTTCCAGCTTTATCACCATTACAGCAAAGCAAGACAGCAAGAACTTGCAGGCAGGTTGTTCAAGTCTTCGAGAAGTGCCTCTTGCTCCTCAAGATAAATTAATTGAGGTGGTTACTCCCAGCCAAGGTTTTTCTGAGCAATTAAGAGGTCCTTCAGGATTTAAAAATGAAGCAGATGCTGCCTGTGCCAATCAGTATAACACGAACAATAGAATTTGTTGGCATGATGAAGAGGCAATGAGTACAGACCAGCCAGTGGTCAGCCATCTTACCTCTGGTAAGCATAAGGAATACGCAGAGCAAAACTGCTTAAAAAATGTCAAAACTGAACCTTCCAGTTACACGCAAATGTCAGAACTGCAATCCAGGAGTCTTTTGACGAGTGTTGCTGTTCCTGTTAAATCAGAAACTAATGAGTCTGACAAGTGCTTCAGGATGGACACCGAGGATTTTACAGGACCTGAAATGCCTGCCCAGACTGCAGAAATAGCCACGAGTGCGCAGCCACCGCAGACCTCCAAGACATCCGTTGCGGACTCCATGGAAGATTCCCTGTCCCTGACAACAGAAACCCTGAAGAGAGTTACCAGTGCCGGGGGCTCTGGCTGTCGCTTGTCGTCAGTGGAGGCCAACAATCCGTTAGTGACACAGTTACTGCAAGGCAATCTGCCTTTAGAGAAAGTGCTGCCGCAGCCCAGATCAGGAGCCAAACTCGAAATTAACAGGCTTCCCTTGCCTTTGCAAACTACCTCAGTATGTAAAACAGCAGTGTCCGAGAGAAATATTGTTGAACATCCTTCCAACTCTCCTCATCCAGATGGTAAAGGATTTACAGCAGGCAGCATGGCCCCGCTACAAATCAGAAAGCGTGAAAACCATCCCAAAAAGAGGATGGCCAGGACTGTAGGGGAACATGCTCAAATTAAATGTGAGCCTGGGAAGGTGTCAATGGACACAGATGTTAAAGTGGCTCCTTGTGTAATTAGTTCCAGCATGAATCAGCTAGGGCATGGTCAGCCATTTAAGCAGGAGTGGCTGAACAAACATGCCGCTCAGAGCCGAATCGCTCACAGCCCGGAGATCAAGCAGCAGAAGAGGCCGTTGCCTTCATGCAGTTTCCAGCAGAGCTTGTTTCACATTGATAAAAATGGCAGCTTTCATGCAGAAGCTAGTACCTCACACAGACAGCATTTTTACCAAATGTCCATGGCTGCAAGAGGCCCCATTCCTACGGCAGCTTTGTTGCAAACTACTTCAAAAGGCCCACCTGGCTGCAGCGCATTCGCTTTCAGCAGGCACCTGGAACAGAAGGGCTTGGGAGACGTGAATATTTCTACAGCAGCTCACCAGCTGAGGCTAGGAAGTGTGTTTTCCCCCAATATTCAGATTAAGGAAGGTGATGACATTGCCAGTGCCTCTCAAACTCTGCAGAGTAAAACATTAGCGCACCCCCCTCCTCCCCCTCTGCCCCTGCCACCGCCT